TGTTGCGATTCCCCTGGCGTTTTGCGCTAAAAATTATGATTTCAAAACAATTTTTTATATTCTTAAAGATTAAAAAAATATTAATTTGCTGAGAATTGAGATTATGTAACATGATTATGTAATTATGTAACATTTCAAAACAAAATTCCAACAATCTTGCATCTTGCAATTACGAATTTTTAGGAACTGATCAATTTGCATAGAAGCTGTCCGCCGTTGATTTTAGTCAATAGTCTTCTTTTCTTTACACGTGCAATTTAAATTTTCTTACATTTACTACTTTTTATTCAATATAATTTAATATTAAAGAAATATAATAACAGATTAAATATGAAAGTTATAATAGCATAATTAAAATATATCTTAAATAAATATAGAACAATAAGTTATAATAAAATAAAATTTGATAAAACTTAAGCAAAGTTAAATTAACTTAAACCAAAATTTAATAAAAGAGAAAAATAATATAATAATAAAATATTTTTTGCTGTTCTTATATTTCCTCCATGCGCAGAACCTGAGAAGATGTAATGGAAAAATATTATTACCTTGTAATATTTAATTTTGTTGCAGATGTCGAAACGTTTATGTTGAGATAGCGAAACAATGGCGCAGAGCCTTGGCACTTTGTTTATGGCTGCGTTCCGATATTCACTGCCAGTACTGAAAATCTGTAACATACGTGACCTGAACTATATATTTTCGGTACTGACAATGAATATTAGAAGCCTATATTGGGTATTGTGGACGCGCGCGCAGCGCGCTATCATTTAGGCCTCTGACTCTCACATGAAACAGGTAGTTGTATCGCTTCGCTTATCTTCACTTTTTCGAAATCCTGAAGAGTTCTAAAACGTCGATGTATATCTTATGGTTTAGACCATCATTAAAGAAAATTCCTTAAGAAAATGCAGCTTTTTCGCCATGTCAAGACAATATCCGTTGGACGGATTATCGTTTGCAAAGATCATGAATTATCATTATGCTTCAAGAAAAAAAAAAATAAGCGCTGATCAATTAATCGTGCAGTATTAAAAGGCTTCATCGATGTCTTCGTTTTTAAATCGATACTTAGTTTAACCTGATAATACTTGGTTGTAATTTACATCGAGCTCTTGTATGTTCAGATTTCAATGCTTCAAACAGATAATTTCTATTTGTTGCAATATAAAATGCAACACTTACATTTTTTTGACGACATTCAACATTAAATTTATGTAGAGGATTATCTAGAGGATAGAATGTCTAGAATTTATTCTCCAGATCTCTTACGGAGAAATCTATCGGGATTGAAGAAATTTCTCGGATTTTCGATAAATTCCTTTTAAATAATAAAAATATGTTATATGATTGTATCAGCGTATCTTACATGCACATGCTTACCTAATAGCGGGAGAAAAAATATTCATAAAGTAAAGCAAAATACATTGCTTAAGGAGATAATTCATAAGTAACAATCTGTTATTGTTGTGTAAAATACAACCTGTTGAATCATTTGTTCATTTGGGTTAAGAAACTTCGTTCTGAGAAGAAGCGTATTTGGGAAAAGAAGCTTGGCAGTGTAGAAGAAATATGAAAGATGCATACAACAATGCAACAAACTCGAATTGATGGAAAAAAAATCGTATATTTCCTTTGTCTTTTCGTCTATATATAATGTACTATAAAATATATCTCGAGATTCAGATATCTAAAGAAAATTGCTAGTTTTAGACAAATATAAATCTCTTTGTCATTCCGAATAGGATATATTATAATAGGATACATTATTATATTTTTGTACCAAGAGAAGGAGAAACATTCGAAAACATCCAAAGACGTTCTCGAATCTTTGTCATTCGTCAGTTATGCCATTATAAATTGTTAATATAAATCATATCATACGAAATATTAAAAAAAATTGAAAAATGAAAATGGTGTACTTGCTAGAAATTTGATTATGGTATGTCATTTTAAAATTTACATGTACATATATAAATTGTCATATATGAATATATAATTATATAGCTCAAGCTTCTCTCTAGTGGAAATAGCACGCACTAGAATAGGATTTTATCGGCAGTGTCTGAAAATAGAAATGGCTATTTGATTTCAAAATGTTAAAATGAAATTTGAGCTGTTGGAGATTTCGACGATGTCACTAAAAGACCGAGATGACCTGCTCTCAGATTTTTTTCTGTTCTTACCAAGTTTTATAAAAGTCCGACACCCTGTTTATATATAAATTATATTAATATGACGGCAACATGATATAATTTTGGAACTTTAGTCACTTTCGTCATAACTAAATTTATGAAAAAAATGTACATTATAACATCAAGTTTCTTATTGACCGAGCGTTGGTTAGTCAAATCGCTAGAGAACAAACCGATAACAAAGTTGCACTTGATCAATAAATATAGTTAGTAAATATAGTTAGTTGGTAATATCAGTAGCAATATGTATAAAACATGTTTTAAAACGTGTAAATATCATTTTTAGATAATCATTTTAATAAAAATATTAATTATATTAATATTTAATATCTTAAAATATTAATTATATTGTTAAGATATTGTATACCTCGATATTTTAAATTTATTTCTTTGAATATAACATGACATCCCATCGATGCCAATAGTCACGACTAAAACTGCTTTGTTTATAATGATATCTCTGTTAGTGAGATTACTCTAAACAAATTTTCCGTGAAAAATTTGCAATATTGCAAAATAATAATTTATGATTGATAGATGACTTCAAATTGTTGCAACCAAGTGTATTACAATGGCTTTTAAATCTTCATCAAGCTATACAGAGAAAACGAAGAAAGGTCATTTATCTATCTTCATTATATTTTTCCTATACAGTCGTGACCTGAATAAACATATTATTGCGAGTATTTCATCTCTTAACATTCGAGAAACATCTGATTCTTATGCTTATAACAAACCTGCTTCTTTTGAGATGTATTTGTATATTTGTATATTTTACCGTTTCTTTTTATAGAATATGTGAAAACATATTCTAGTCTTATTTCAAATTGAGAGAAATGCAAGAAACCTAAACTCATGTAGTTAAATTTAATTTTATATCTAATTCTCGCGTGATAAATAAGATATTTACTTGATATGTTGCAGAATATTTAGTATTTATTTGTAACGGATTAATAATTTGGTTCTGCAGAAATAGAGATTTTATGTGTTCAATGTAAATAAAGCTAAAATATGGAATATTTATTAATGTATTTATTCAGATTTAAGTATATATGATGACCAGTATGATGAGTTAGATAAATTTCTTGACAATCATGCACACTTGAATTATCAGAGCTATTTCAAGCTTTTTAAATAGCGACTCATATTTCCACATCACTGCATCCAATGATATTTCTTCGATAATCAAATTAATCATTCAAATTGGAAATGAGATATATCGTATTCAATCTGTTGATTAAATTGAAATTGTTACGAGAGTGTTATCTTATTGTAAGATAATAAAATACAAGGTTTAATTTAAAAGAAAATATCTCAACTTTAGAGAGAACATTCATTTTTTTAAATATTAAAAAGAGAGGAGAAACAGAGATACAATATTCCGTTTAAAAATTGCGAAATAATAGTTATATGCAATAATGATTAATATGTAATTATGCAGATACATAATATCAACAAAATTAATTACAAAATAAGAAAAATAAAATATTTCTTAATATATGTTACGTGAGTTTTAACTTGAATGAATTAAACAGGACATTCTGTATATTATTGATGATATATGCTTGGAACAACATGGAAAGTGAAAAAATTATCCAGAAGAGACATTTGTGTGTGTGTGTGTGTGTGTGTGTGTGTGTGTGTGTGTGTGTGTGTGTGTGTGTGTGTGTGTTCGCTATCAGCAGCTGGTTAGCCCGAGGGTAAATAGGCTGTCTCGAATATTCCTACTTGTTGCGTAATGTACAGAATATATATACGAATAGTAGTGTCCTTGTTCTAAGTTAGTACTATCTTTATTCATTGCTAAGTTAACTTATTAATAACATTTTGCGTATCTTGTAACCACCGAGTTAGCATTATTGTCGTTTAAACGTCGTTTGCGTTTAAACAGCGCAAGCGTTGCAAGGATTTAAATTAAATATTTTACTTAAATAAAATTAAAAGAATAAAAGAGAAATACTTTCTAATTTCTTCTTCTTTACAAAACACAAAATGGGTTTTTTATTCCAGAAATATGAATCTTTGAAAATGAATGTGTTTATGTCGTATTTAATAGGTATATCGAATCGAAGTAAATCCAGATTTCTGATAAGCGATAGTGTGTAGCTAGAATATTCCATTTGATGTGAAATATCGGTGCATTCGAGACAATCCGCTTATTTCATAAAGCTATTATTGATCAATTGTCGTCAATAACTGATCGATGCAGCACAATTACATATATGCTCGTTATGGCAATATATAAACGCTGATAACAATGAGATAAAATATTCTTTCATCATCTTGTATACATAATACAATATTGCTAATTATTTAATAAACTACTGTATAAATGTGTACATTATAAAATACATTAATGGGAATCTTTAAAATTTATTGTTTTTTGAGTTTAAAAATCCAATCTAGATAGCTTTTCGTCGTCTGTTTCACAGTCAGCAGATAAGCGCAATACAGATATCATTACGAAATAACGAAAGCGAAAGCAAGAACATAAATCCCGACCCGAGTGTGATCCATGCAGATTCGTTGGGGTTCCGTCTTATCGTCTGACCCCCAGTAACTTATCACGAGCTGTAATAAATTTAGGAGGCGCAACCGTGTAAATACTACGGAACTGTTGAAGTGCTACTAATTGACTTTGCAATCACAAAGTGCAACAGCTGATTTGATTCGAGTAGATTTATTTTTAGCGATGTGATATCGCTGATTTTGGAAAAGAAGGCCTTTTACAGTGAAAACACTCCTGTATGTATGTAATTGACGACACATGACACACGCGTGTGTTTGTGTATGCGTCGTGTAAACACGTACGTGTGACTTTATTTGACAATGTGAGAATAAACTTACTCTAGCCAATCGTATTTTTTAAAAATAATTTTATAAATAATTAATGAAAAGTTTAAGTATATTTTTATATTTGTAACCATTAAATTTTCTATAAAATATCGAGTAATAAAATATTTTTAAAATATTTTAATACAACGAATCAGCTCGATTAAATCAGCTCGATTTAATTAAGTTTGTTTAATAAACTAAAGTTGAAATTAAAGTAGAATTTATAAATATTGAAATATTTCTTAAAATTGTTGGAAACATTAATGTCACTTATTTCTTTCCTTTAATTTAATATATATTCTACGTATTATTTTGTGATATAGATAAACATTTCAGATATAAATTTAAATAAATTATATATTTATATATTATAATAAATTATAATAAATTATATATTTCAGATATAAATTAAATAAATTATAGTTAAATAGATTGTATAAGTTATTGAATATAGGAATATTGAATTTTTAATTTAAACAACTCGTACAAACAAAATTAACATGATCGAACCATTTAATTTTTAATGTGTATGCCCAAAAATATTCGCTTTTTTGTTTACATAAAAGAAAATAACGATAAAAGCAATAAATAGAGATTGTAATAGTAAAATAGAAACAATTAGTTTTTATTTATTTCTTTCACAAGTGCTACAAATTAAAAAGTTAATATCGCTGATAAACATCTGTGATAAGCGTGTGATAATTGTATCATTTAAATCCTTTGTTACACTGGCTGTCAAAGCAAATGGATATGTATCGATTTTTATATCTTTCTAATTGCTTAAGTATTCGCTGCATATCTTCTCTTATATAATCTTTCATATATATTACTGGTTGTACAATAGAAAGTCATGTAGAACGGTATGAGCGCCTATTTGTTGACTCTAACTGCGATAATTTTGTGTGTAAATTTGTAATTTAATGGATTATGAATTTATGAATTTTATTTTACTAATGCACTGATGACGCACTTCTTGAGTAATCGAAACGTTTATGTTTGAATTTGTATTTGTTTGTTTATCAATATATTATTAGTGCAAAAAATCGATTTATAAAGTCTTTTATTTTGTTTGTCACATTTATTTACTTTGTTTGTTGTCGTTTGAGCCTAAATTATTTATCAATTTTAATTAAATCAATTTTATGCTAAAAATTAATTTTATTACTTTATTATTACTTTAATTGTAAATTCAAATTGTGAAAACATATTTTACTTTACTAGAGACGATCAAAGAAGTTTAATACATTAAATTTTAAAGTTGCTACTTAAATACTTATCTAAATCATTGGAAAATTATTGGAAAATACCGAATATTATCTTTAATAGACATATAGGATTGCCATGGAAAAAATTGACTTTCTCGATAATTTAAGATATCTGTAGATAATTTATATATTTTATTGGGCTTTTATCAATAACTGGGGCATTATCTCTTTGTTTAAAGATTGATCAATATTAAATTAAAATTTATGACAAATAATTACAAGATAAATGTGTATATATATAATTGGACTCTATTTTCATTCAAATCTGTCGATTTTTAGATCGTATCTTTTAAATATAACTTATCAATTTCTTGTTTGCGAATTTATTAGATGAAATGTTCGATATTATATGCAGTGTATAATATATTACATCATATAGTGATATACTATTGATATTACAATGGAAGAAGCGATAAGTTGGAAACATATATATATATATATATATGTATACAAAAATCTGAAATCACATGAACGACTGTTAAGTCACGTGTAAATATGCACGTGGATCTCAAGATGCAAGATTTACCTATATTGACATAACTTTAAATGATATTATTAACATTTCTAAGAATATATAGTTGATTCTTGAGGAAATAATCATTTTATTTTTTGCAAGTGTTATTGTCGTCATTATCATTATTGTCGTAACTTTACGTTGCACAGGGATAACAAACTGACAATAAAGCAAGGTCATTAATTTTTTAATAAACTTCGAGTAACTACTGTTTTTTTGTCATTTATGAATTTTAAGATGGATTATTAAGAAATGCAATGAAATAGTTTAATTTTTTTTTGGGAAAACCCTGTAATAAAGAATTATTATTTATCATAATGATTCAACATTTTATATTGAATATCTTATCGACTAGGATTAACAAAAACAAACTTCTTAAAGAATAAGAGTCACTTAAACAAAATAAGAGGAGAATAAACTTGTTTTATCTTTGCGCGACTTTTTTTAAGTACATTTTCTCAAAAATTTTTGAACGATAATATCTTTATCGATCGAGGATTTTTAAATTTAAATTCAGTTCAACTTTTGGACGCAAATCTTCTTACTTACTAATTTACTTACTACTGTAATTTACTTACTTCAGTTGACTAAAGTTTTTAAATATTTTTACATTATTAAATTATTTATAATCGTCAAAAATTGTATTGATTATTTATTCTGCGAACATTTGTTATTTCTGTGCTGTTTCGACTTTCCATGAATTTTTATGGATTGACTTTTTGTCACTTGGTATTGCAACTGCAATGAACGATGATATATTCTTTATTATTTAATATAAAGTTCTTTATATAAAGTTAATAAGTTGGTTGTTACTCGATTTTACATGATTTTTTTAAATATGTTACATTAAAATATGTTACATTTTTACATTATATTTGTTGAGAATAGTTCAAAAATGAGTCGAAATGTTTGAACATTTTGTAATTTTCTGTAATTTCTTTGTATTTTAAACAAGTTTCAATATAGTAAAATTTAAACTTGCATAATAATTACAGCGATTGACATTCATTCGTTTTCTTTATTTTTATTTCTTGACATTTTTCAAAAATATTTTATTTATTTAATATTTTTTATAGTCATAATGATTTAAAATTTAGTAACTACTCTCTCTCTCTCTCTCTCTCTCTCTCTCTTTCTTTCTTTCTTGTGTACCTTATAGTCTGATTAATTTATTTTTGAATAAAATAAAATATTATGTATGTTATGTGTGTTTAATCTAGTATTTAAAATAATTTAAAAAAGGATGATGTAAGAAATATTGGTTTTATCCTAATTTTATATCTATTTCGTCATAAGGCTTCTTATCTTATCTGTACAATACAGCTTAACATTTGATTCTATGCTCCAATCATATGTTGTATCTTTGCTTTTACGCCCAACATCTCAAGAGGATCGATGAAAACTGAATGCAGTTACAAAAATACTCATTTATATGACTTTAGTCAAGCGAGACGGTTTTTTATATGAAGTATGCCAAAGGTGATCTCAAGAAATGATATATTTGAAAAGCAATTTCAAATAGCACGTAAAAAATTTAATTAATTAGAATGTTATGTAAACACAGAAAATAAATATTTTTTTTATCAAATACAAATTTGAATTTAACAAAGTTAATTAATAATATCGGTCAGCATTAAATCTAACTTGAATTTGCTAGACACGATTAAACAAAGATATCTTCGAAAATATTATCATGCATATACATATTTTATTATTACAAAGTATAGTAACTATTTAACATCTTATAAGAATGTCTGCGTATTTTATTCGTCGTTTATTGATGTTTGATATTCTCTAGTATGAATCAGTAAAGTCAAATGCTCCGGAATCAAAAGTAAATTGTACGAATTATGTTTTATTCTTTAATCTGTTTTCTTTGAATTATTTTTAATAAAACGGATTTTTAAACAATATTTCACGATGAAGTAAAAATTGATAAAAGAAATAAAATAAAAAAAAAGAAACAATGTTGATTGAAATGCTATGAGATTTTCTAGATTTTAAATTTAATTTTTTATATGTTTCTGTCATGCAATTTTAACTATTGGATTCCTTGCCTCAAAAACAATAAAAAATAATTTTATTTTTTCAAGCAATAAAATTTGTTGTAATATTTTTTTAACCTTGTTTACTTATTTGTTAATTCTATATTTTTAATTTAAAAAATTTAATTAATTATTATAATTTTTAATATTAGAGATAACAAATAAATTTAAATTTACAATTAAACTTAACACTATTGCATTTTTAAACTGTAAAAAAAAATAAATGAATATTTTTAATTCACATTTTTAAATAGAGACATAAATATTGTAACATAAATCTTTGCCCATTTTTTTTTTTAATAACTTTTTGCAACGCAGTACTTTTAATAATATCAAGTGTGCTTCTATATTTATCGAGATAAACTTAATCAGTTTGTTCGTCAATTGGAATATTATTCCGACGTTTTGTCGCGCTAGATTTCGCGCTTCGTCGACGTCAACGTCGTTGTCGAAACAAATAACAATAATTGGACCACTTGCTCTGTAACGGGTTATCATCATATGCGCCTTCTCCCTCTCCTGCCTTCGCTATATACCACATGAACACCCCGTACACCACAGCTTATATGTTCGCTGATTGGTCGACGCGCTTATGCGTGTCCAAGATCATTGGTAAGCTCATTTACGCTCACATTTTTTATGACTCTGGTTTGAACTTCTCTATAAAATAAGCGGACGAAAGTCACGCCAGCCACTTGTCGTGAGACAAAGCACGAGATATATACGCGGGCTGATTGATTAGTTATTTATATTGTTTCTTTATCTTAATTAGTCATCCGATTTTAAGTGACACTTGATCCATCGTTAACCGAATTAAAAATGCCGTTTCCGGAAACCGTCAATGGTCACGACAGCTTTACAGCTGTCAAACATTTGACTAATAACGATGTGCTGCAAACACACGGGAAGCATGCGCGACATACGTAAGTCTCATTTAATTTACTTCTTAAATTTATTTCTAGTATCTTCGATATTATAGATTTAAAATACAGGATTCGTTAAAAGAGATATAAAGACTGGCAAGGGATGATTTTGCATGTAAAAGCTTAATTGAAAATTACATTTCTCAAACTTTGTTAACTTTGTTTACGAACAATGAACAGTTTTTGTAATTATCTTCCAAAGGAACATTTTATAGAATTTGGTTGAAATTAACTTAAAAATAAATCTATTTTTTAAAAATATTGTTTGAAACTTATTCCACGTTTTAACATTTCAAAACAGATTAACTGTACGAATGTGTGAAAGAATTCGTAAACTAAAATATAATGTATAATACGCTAGCAAATAGTATTTGCTGTTACTGATTGCTAATGATTACCAATATTGCGAAATTAGTTGAGTTAATTCTACTTATCAAATATGGCGCAAATCGAATGAACGAAGTATTCCGAGCGCGCTCACTATAATTCGATGTAATTTCGCTCTGAAACTGGTACAAAACGATGTGGTTACCTACTAAACTACCGGCAAGCTCAAATAGTAGCGGATTTAAGCTAAATGCGTAACATAGGCTTCAGGGATATTACAAATCATGCATCGGAATACACATACGTATGCGAAACGCGTTCGCAAAATATACGTGGTGCTCAGGAAAAAGTTATATATGATTTTGAAGTCGTGTAATTATGGCTTAAACAAGTTATAGAGAGTTTTCTAATTAGCACCAGTGAAACATCGTTCAAGAAACAGAAAGAGAAAAATATCGTTAAACATTATATAAAAGTTATATGCATGCATGTACACATCATTTCGTCGAAGCAGTGGAAATATTCTATAATGCTTTTTTAAAGATTGGTTTTTAATGCTGATTAGGAAAATAGAACGTATGTTAGATGAATAAAAAAGTCTCAAGCTTCCATTCATCACGATGTTTTGTCGATGTATCCTTGGGAGGAAAAAGGAGAAAAATCAGTTAAATCGATCGTTCCATTCACCTTGGATGACTATCGTATCGATCGCGCATGATAAATTAATTTGATCATTTTTTTTCTAATGACGATGGTACGTGATAATGACAAATAAATGATTAAAATTAGCAATAAATTATAGTGTACATAGGTTTCTTACGTAAAAAATATCTTATTATTGGCTAAAAAATGTTTTATATTATTTAAAGGTTTTGTATTGTACAAAGGTAGACACAAGAGATCGACACTTTCCAATTTTTAATCTAATTTCCTATTATATTAAAATGACATATATAGCGCGAACAAATTAAAAGATTAGTAAATTAGTATTTATGACAAATTTAATTTTGTCTGTACTTTTTTATCTTTAGATATTTTAGTTACACCGTGTATGCCAATTTCACACAAAACTCTATCGTATACGCGCGTTCTATGCGCACAAATGTACACGCAAAATTTCCGTACGCGAAGTAAATGAACATGCAACAGACCGAGCGTAATAATTCGAACTTGAGGCTATTTGATCATTTTGACGTTCATGAAACATAGAACGCAACAAAATATTACATCAAAAAGTTTTCAAAATCCAAAATTCAAGATCGTACATTCAAATATTCAAATGCCAAAAAATTCAAAATTCAGATTAGAAAAGTCTAAGCTTCAAACAATAATCTATAGATCTATAAATAAGTCTAAATCTATAAATAAGTCTCAAAAAAGGACTAATGTATAATTTAAGAATATATATAAAATTGAGAATTTTGAGACTTGTGGCTTAAAGTTTCAGCTTTCAAAGTTTAAAGAAATGAAACTGCCGAAAGAAGACGTACAACTTAGATTTAAGTTTAACTCAGAATTAAAAATAAAATATTTATTCTTAAAAAAATATTTGTATTAAATTAATATTTGCACTTTATTGTTATCCCTTTCTGTGGCTTTTAAGAATTTGACAAGTAAAAATTAGTAATTGCAACCAATCCTATTTATTATGAATCAATTTCATGTGATTCATATCCATTTATTTAAAAAAAAATATCGTATATCGCGATATATCAGATTATCTTATCTTTATCTCGCTTGAATACTTCCGTGTTGCATATTTTATATATTCTATCTGGAATTATACCAGGAAATAAAATCAGGTTTCTATTTAAAATTGCTTATAAAGACTAATTAACATGTATAAGTACAACTTAAAAATTCAAATTTTATTTTAATTAAAGATAACATCATTATAATCTATACAATATTTATATAACAAGATAAAAAAAACAAGATTGAGAATCGATTGAGAATCGATATTGATCTCGGAAAATTAATAGAGTGAATGTAATTGTAAACACAAATATATAATTATGGTTCTGCGCACTCAACTTTATTTGAGTAAATATTCAATCCTTTGTATATTATATAACGGTAAGCGTTATACAATAATATTTCCTTATGAAAATTTTTTATTTTAATTAATTTTCAAGGATTTAAGATAATTTGTTTAAGAAAACTTTGCAAAAGTCCATGATAATAAGATATTTATTACCAATTTTGTGTAATTCAAAGTGAAAAGTTTTAAGTTTTGTACGTTTTAATACGTATAATGTAATGTATATTTTTATTATAATTCTATTATAATTGTCTTATATATTAAAAAATATCTACTATGTATGTGTAAATCGGAAGAAAATACACACACACACACACACACACACACACAGAGTGTATTGGTTTCTGTTACGCGTGCGCGTCCCTTCTACCCGCAGTAATTATGATAAAACATAAAGCTCATTACATTAAGTGATCATACTTGCAATATTCAACTTTTGGAACTACTTGTATCGCAGAAACTATATATATGGTAGTTGCTGGTCTCCATAGTTGTCATTACCGCAAAGCCTGGGTACGCAATTATACATGCAATTATGATGGGACGTTTAATATAGCTGGGCGATCGTGTAAGCTAAAGCAAGCGGGTACGACGTCCGCTTAATCAGTACCAATCTGTGGAGTACGCTTTAATATGTCTCTGCGATATCGGTGCAGAGAAAAGTCGTACTGCCGTACGTAACCGCGAGTCCGACGCGAGAGTTACTTCCATTACTTCCATTTGCAACTCTCTTGTCGCTAACTTCTCCACATCCGACTTCCTTCGTAATGTTATAATTACAAAAAAAATTTGAAAAAAATTGAAAAGTTATGCAAAACTACTAAATTATTTTGATTTGATTTCGGCAAATTTAATATTTACTACTTGCAACTTTGTCGATCGTGTAAAAGTGGACTATTCTGTATACATTCCGTCGGATTTTGACCGATTTACAAGACCGAGATATACGAGATATTTATTATGTTTTCCAGATACACCTTTGAAATATTGCAAGAGTCAGCACAATATTTATTGGATCGCATCAAAATTAGGCCGAAAATCGGGATTATATGCGGCTCGGGAATGGGTTAGTAGTCGCACTCTTTTATTCTTGTATTTTATACGTACACACATTTTACATGTTATTTGTTTATAATTTGTTTGTTAAATAACATAATTTTATTTATTGTATTTGATTAACTAATCCATTACCAATCCAGGAGTAATAATTGCATGATTAATACATAACAACACTTTGTAGTTTCAATTTGTTTGTAGTTTCAAATATTCAAAAGGTTTATATGGATCTTCCATATCCGTTTATAAATAAATCTAACTGATACATTCAACGTCACGCTATAGTATCGTGAGATAAAAAAATACTCTATTGTTTTTATTTTGAGTGAAAGAGTTTTGGTAAACAAATTAATATGTGATATTCTTTAGATTGAGATCGTAAGAATTTTTAGAGAAACGACAATAGCATAAATGCAGAATATTGCCATTAAAGTGTAATGATAATATTCTACATTTACGTATAAATTAGAAACAAGTGCATATTGTTTTAATATGTATTTTTCTTATTTATCGACAATTTGTTGACTCTGCAAATCGTAATTGAAAAAACAAATTATTTATCGTGATGAGCGATTTGAAAATGTGATGTACAATAAAATTTTTAATTGCTATTACTTATATATATATATATATTTTTTTAACGCTACAGCACAATTTGTAATGCCTGTTTACTAACGATTTTATGTTTTTCGCTTATATGTTTTTTATTTTTATTATGTTGCTTATATATCTTTAGTTTTAAGTTTGATTCAACTGTCTGTTTCTGATCTTGTTTATATTGTCTTGTTTATATTGATTGTTGTTTATATGTCATAACTTTCACAGAAAAATAATTTGTAACAGTTTTTCATAAATAGTTCATAAAAACTGTTACGCACGGATTAAAATAAAGTTGTTATGAAGTACTTGGAAGAGATCTCGGGAACAAATAAATTTATCTTTTCTCGGAAACAATTACGACTTCAGGAAAGGATCAGCTAATTGACGAGATGTGTTAGGAAATCTTAAGAATCGAATGTAAAAATATTGAAGGAATGTTATTTATTATTCGTTTAAATCTTACTTTAGAAGGAATAAAAATAATTAATAATAAAATTTTTGCAATTGTTCAATGTCTTCTGTGCTATAAGATTGGAAAATTATTACCTGAAGATTATAAGGTGTAATACGGGTGATTTACGTGAATGTGCGTATATGTGCTTTGAACAATTCGAAATGGTTTTGCGGGATCTCCCTCCAGGGTGGTGGTTTGCTATCACAGCTTTGTTTATTCCTAAACAGGATCATATGAGCAAAACGAGTTGTGTCCAGGTTCGATCGCGGAATCCCTCGTGGAAAAGCAATGCTTTCCCTATGAAGAAATCCCACATTTTCCGGTGTCTACGGTAAAAGGCCACACTGGCCAGATGGTCTTTGGTTATCTCCAAGGTGTACCAGTCATGTGCATGCAGGGCAGATTTCATTATTACGAAGGTTATCCACTCTGGAAGGTACGACTGGTTTTAATAATTATAATCGTTACATGTAAAACGAATATAAAGTATTGTATTGCGTTGAGATATGGCAATCAAATTATTTCTAGTGTGCCATGCCAGTGAGAGTGATGAAGCTGGTAGGTGTGACGCATCTAATTGCTACGAATGCGGCCGGCGGTTTAAATCCCACCTACAAAGTAGGTGATATTATGATAGTGAAGGATCATGTGAATATGATGGGTTTTGCTGGCAACAATCCGCTTCAAGGACCAAATGATGACAGGTGAGATTTGCAGAATGCAAATTTTGTTCAAAAGTTAGACAATAAAAATTTCGATAATAAAAATTTTACCCGTTTAGAAACAAATGAAACGCTTTTGAATTTATTAATGATGGGAATGTCTAAAATGTCAGTTTTTGAATATCAAATTTGTTTGTGTTTTCATTTCCTAGTCAAGAAAGTGTATTGTTTTTTTTCTCTTTTAATAGAAATGGGACATTAAATAAAGAGAAACCGCTTAAATATTTATTCAGAGCATAAAACATACAATATGTATTTTTATTATCTAATATGTATTATCCATTATTTTGATATTTTTTTCTTTAATATATTTATTTCTTTTAATATATTTATTTCTTCATTTCTTAGATTTGGCCCTCGATTTCCGCCCATGAATAAAGCTTACAACGCTATGCTGATGGAGATTGGTAAAGAGGTAGCTGAAGAAATGGGTATTGGCGATATCGTACATAAGGGAGTTTACACATGTTTAGGTGGACCCAATTTCGAAACAGTAGCAGAATTGAAAATGTTGCGAATGGTCGGCGTTGATGCAGTTGGTATGTCATTCATTTCTTAATTAATTGAAAAAAATTACGTATTGAATTTATCAGTTATTTGTATGATTTATAATCACAAAAACGTTATAACTTTAACTATTGAAGAAATATAATATTTTATATGTTTGAATCGCAAAATACAAAATTACATTAATTTAGTTGTTATTATCATACAAGTAACATTCTTTAATCATTAAAAATACTAATAAATGTCAACACAGAAAATCCAATTGACGTCACAGAATATCTGAGTTCATATAATATCATGCTGATTCATAGATAAGCAATTAAGTTTTCTTGTTTTTCGCAAAACAACTTTTGAGAGATTTAATGTGTTTCATAATTACGCCCATTTATCTTTACGTCGCGTGGGGCAATTAAATCTATGGAATGAAGGAGACAACAGAATGACCTCTCTGTAATG